TAATTATATTGCATGTGGGTGGCTTCAGTATGATGCCAAGTTCGGACCCCTTTGCGTTCGAGGTACCATCTATAAAGAGGGTCCAGATTCCCGAAGATATCCTCGAGTTTACCAACAACTCTCTTTTGACTTCGGGTATTAGGGCCGGTATAAAGTCGGCCACGAAATTTGCCAAAATTTGAGACTTAATGGTTGTCCGGGGTTGATATTCGATATCGTACCAGCTGATTTCTACGGCCCATTTGACCAATCGCCCCGAGAGTTCGGGTTTATGCATTATATTTCATAATGGGTAAGTTATCACAACACATATAGGATGGCACTGAAAATATGGTTTCAGTTTCCTAGAGGCACTTAGTAAAGAGAGCCCCAATTTTCTAGGTGAGGATATCTAGTTTCGGCGTCACCTAAGGTCCTGCTAATATAATAAATTGGAAATTGCGTACCATGTTCTTCCCGAACTAGGACTCCACTTACCGCTATTTCTGATACTACCAAATACAAGTATAATCGTTCGTTTGCCCTCGGCGTGTGAAGAAGTGGCGGGCTCGATAGATATGCTTAAGTTCTTCCAAGGCCCGTTGGCATTCCGGGGTCCATGTGAAGTAGTTTTTCTTCTTTAGTAACGAGAAAAATCGATGCCTCTTATCAGAGGACCTCGATATGAATCTCCCCAAGGCGGCAATGCACCCGATTAGCCTTTGTACGACCTCCACATTGTGCACTACCGTGATATCCTTGATAGCTTTGATCTTGTCGGGGTTGATCTCGATTCCTCGATTGGACACCATGAACCCGAGAAATTTACCTGATCTAACTCCGAACACGCATTTTCCTGGATTCAGCTTCTTGTTTTACTTCTTCAATATACTGAAGGTTTCCTGCAAATGCTTTAAATGGTCATCTGCTCGCAGGGACTTAACTAACATATAGTCAATGTAAACTTCCATGGATTTCCCTATTTGTTCTTTGAACATTCGGTTTACTAGGCGTTGGTAAGTGGTACCGGCATTTTTTAATCCAAATGGCATTACGTTATAGCAGTATGTGCCATACTTAGTGATGAATGAGGTTTTTTCTTGATCATCCGGGTTCATCCGTATTTGGTTGTACCCGGAGTAGGCATCGATAAAACTGAGGATCTCGTGGCCGGCTGTGGCATTGATCATGCGATCGATATTAGGCAAAGGGAAAAAGCCTTTTAGGCATGCCTTATTTAAAACTTTATAATTCACACACATTCTCAGTTTGTTCCCTTTCTTAGGGACTACGACTACGTTTGCTAACCATTCCGGCTATTTGACCTCCCGGATGGACCCTATTTTAAAGAGTTTAGTTACTTCGTCCTTGATGAAAGCATGCTTGATCTTGGAAAGGGGTCTCCTTTTCTACTTCACTGGATGGAATTTCGGGTCCAGGCTTAGCTTGTGAATAGTGATCTCTGCTGAGATCCTTGTCATGTTGAGATGGGACCAAGCAAAACAATCCATGTTTGCTATAAGAAATTGAATGAGTTTTTTCCTGAGCTCGGGAGTTAACCTCGTGCCGAGAAACACCTTTCGATCGGGTAGATGTTCGATCAGTATGACCCGCTCCAGCTTTTCAACCATTGATTTGGTAGCGTCGGAACCATTAGGGGCTATAAAGGATCGAGGAACCCCGTAATCATCATCTTCGTTAGTCCCCTGCTTGTCCGGTTGGGTCGAGGCCAAAATTGGTGATTGCTATTTGGCTTCCTGTTTTGCTTTCGAAACTGGCTCCTTTGTCGATGAGAGTGTTGATATCGGAATTACTTCATCAACGGCAAACATCTCCTTTGCGCCGGGTTGCTCCCGGTAGATCGTTTTAATCCCTTCTGGTGTTGGGAATTTTAATACCTGGTGAAGGGTCAAGGACACAACCCTCATGTTGTGGATCCATGGTCTCCCGAATAGGGCGTTGTAACTTATGTCCCCTTTGATCACATAAAACTTGGTCTCCTGGGTGGTTCCGGCTATGTTTACCGGTAACGTTATTTCTTCATTAGTAGTTTCGCAAGCCATGTTGAATCCATTTAGCACTCGGGTCGCAGGCACAATTTGGTCCTGTAGGCCGAGTTGCTCTACGACCCTCGATCGAATGATGTTGGCCGAGCTACCTGGATCAATTAATACACGTTTAACTCGAGTTTTATTTATGAGTACAGATATTATCAGTGCATCATTATGGGGTTGCATGATTCCTTTTGCATCCTCGTTGTTGAAAGATAAAGTTCCTTCTGGTGTGAAATCTCGAGTCCGTTTCTCCCTCGTGATTGATACTTTGGTGCGCTTTAAATTTAGACCTTGAGGAACATCGACCCCTTCGATAATCATATAAATGATGTGTTGAGGTTCTTCTTGCTCGTTTTGTTTATTGGAATCCCTGTTTCTGAAATGATTCTTGGCTCGGTCGCTCAGAAATTCCCGAAGGTGCCCGTTGTTGAATAATTGGGCTACTTCTTCACTCAATTGTCGACAATCCTCCGTTCTGTGGCCATGGTTGCCATGATATTTGCACATTTGGTTGGGATCTCTTTGGGCTGGATCAGTTTGTAAAGGTCAAGGCCATTTGGTATCTTTGATGCGTCCGATAGCCGATACAATGGCAGCTGCATCAACATTAAAGTTGTATTCTGATAATCGTGGTGCTTCTTTAGGTCTGATAGGCCTGTCGAAGCCGTTCTTGCTCATGAGCCCTCGAGAGCTCTGGCATCGATCACTTCTTATTTCATTTCATACAGAAATTCACCCTGATCCTCTACTCCTACGATCTCCTTTATATGGCTGGTATCGATCTCTGTTCAACCTCGGTTCTCGGTCAATATCCCTCTTGATTCTATCAACGGGTCTGATAGGATAAACGGTCCCAGAAGGATCCCTAAGTTGATCGTCTTCGACCCTGATCTTCAATTGATACCGATTATGCACATCGGCCAAAGTAACAGCCAGGTATTGTATCAGATTCTGCTTCAACTACTGCAAAGCCACTGAGCTTTGAACATTGAGTCCTTGGGTGAAACCTTGAACAACCCAATCATCAGCGCCCGGTGGCAGGTCCATCCATTCCATTTGGAATCGAGACACGAATTCTTTGAGCATTTCGTTGTCCTTCTGCCTTACCTTTAAAAGGTCCGACTTCCTGGTTTCAACCTTGATGGCCCCAACGTGTGCCTTTATGAAAGAATCTGCAAGCATAGCAAATGAGTCAATAGAATTAGGTGGTAATTTGTGGTACCATATCATAGCTTCCTTTGACAGAGTCTCTCCGAATTTCTTTAGCAAGACAAATTCGATCTCGTCATCCTCTAGATCATTCCCTTTGATAGCACATATGTAAGAGGTGACATGCTCGTTTAGATCGGTCGTTCCATTGTATTTAGGAATATCGGGCATGTATAACTTCTTGGGGATCAGCTTGGGAGCCGCGCTAGGGGGGAAATATTCTTGCACGAACTTTTTGGAATCCAGACCCTTCAATATCGGCGGTGCCCCCAGGATTTGATCGTCCCTGGAGTTGTAAGTTTCCACCTTCTTGTCGTTTGCCTCAATTTTCTTCTCCCCCAACTCAATTCATTTTGTCAGTTCTTCGAGCATCTTCATGATTGCAGGATTGGTCTTCGATTCTTTCTCGCTCGATTTCCTTAAAACCGATTCGACCCTGTGGACAACTTCTTGGGACGGCTTGGGCTCGATCCTACTCGGTGAGTGATTCTGGTTTTGGAGCTGGGCTATCGCTGCTTGTTGATCCTACAACATTTCTAAGATCACCCGCAAGTTGATCCCACCATCTTCGCCGCGATGTATGCTTTGAGTGGCTGATCGAACATCCCCATGGACGATGCCCTTGGGATCGACGTCCAAATTTGTGTTGATGGCTATATGTGAGCTGACATCGATTGGATCTGCAACCGAAACTCCATCGAGGCCAACCAGGGGTATGTCGTTCCTTGGTGCTATGTTATCATTTTTGCCGTGGTGGCCGAAATGATTGTCAACGTGTAGGGCTGCTGACTGAGAGTTCGATATTTTGGTCCTGGAATCAAAGATACTCCAAAAAACAAGTGTAAAATAGTATGTGTTATGAAAGTTTGTATCAGGTAATCACTATTATCCTTAGCCCACGATGGGGGCCAAACTATTTACCCTTAAAATCAAAGAACAATTGAATTTATACGCAATTTTAAGGGTACGTGATATAACTTGATACAAATTAAGAAAACAGATTAATATTGAAATTGATGATAAGAGAATAAACGCAAACCACACAAATTGAACAGCCTTGGCCTTTGAGTTTGATCACCCTCGAACCAAGAAATGCCTTAACTGTAAGAACAAAATAACTGTTAGAGTACTAGATAAAGGCTGATTTTGTATTTGGGCCATTATTGTAATTAGAATTGGCTCATGTTGTATTTGTTTGTAATTGGGTCACCGGGTCAAGGCCCATTATTTATAAGTGACTCTCCCTATTGTAAAGAGACAGATTTTTCATTCTTACACAATACAAGATATCTGCTTCTCTCGAAGCTTCTCTCAGCTCATGAACTTTATTTTAGTTTTATCATTTCTCCTCCAAATCTCTATACTTAACATGGTATCAGAGCGTAGATTCAGGTAGATAGTCTCACTCGCTTCCGATCGATGTTAGCCTTTTCAATTTTCATCGAGTTTTGGTTTTGATTGCTTTTACACTGGATTAGGGTTTTGGTTGGAATTTCGTCGGATAATTTCGTCGTATTATTGCTTCTTTCTGTTGGATTTCAGGTTACTATGGATGTTTTGACCGGACCTGGGTGATCTATTCGTCTTTTTCGTTTCTCGAGCTAGGGTTTCCTCGTCGGTATCTTGCTGCGCCGCCAGAAATTCTGTTCACAAAGGCCGTTCTCTTTTCGGTTGCAAAAAAGGGGGGTAAATCAGTTTCTTCTTCATATCTCATAAGTTTGTTGATTGTTGTTTTGTTTGTTGTGATATTTCCTCTCAATGACCAATGATAATCCTGTTGTTACATCTTCTTTTTCCTCCACTGCACCTCGTACTGTGTTTCATGAGGATGACTTTACACATCCGTGTCATCCACTGTATGTGCACCCATCAGATGTACTGGGAACCTCTTTGGTTTCTAGTCCGTTTGATGGAACCTGCTATGGCAGCTGGAGGAGAAACATCTTAGTTGCTCTCTCCATTCGTAATAAACTTGATTTTATCAATGGTACCTCCACAAAGCCACCTCCTGGCTCTCCTCTGGCACGCCAATGGCAAAGATGTAGTGATCTTGTGGTTTCATGGTTGGTTAATGCTATGTCAAAAGAAATATCTCGTAGCGCAGAGTATTCTGAGTATGATAAGGATATTTGGTGTAAATTAGAGGAGAGATATGGTAAGGCTGATGGGGCTAGAGTCTTTGAGCTAAAGAAAGAGTTAGGACATATATCTCAAGGGTCTTAAGACATAGCTTCTTATTTCAACAAAATCAAACAACTTTGGGATGAGATAGCATCTTATAAGGTTAGAGTTTGTACTTGTGGGGTAAAGTTGTTGAGGATGAAGAGCAGAAGGTTTATCAGTTCCTTATGGGACTGAATGATACCTACATGAGAACTCGCAGCAACATTCTAATGATGAAACCACTTCCATCTGTTGGAAATGTGTACAACATCTTATTATCTGATGAGAAACAGAGGCAGGTGTCTTCTGCCTCTCAATTCTCCACACAATCTGCTTCTTTCAATGTTGGGATTTCTAAGCATCATTTCCCTCCAATGTTTCTTTTGAGGCTCCCAGGACTTCTCTTATCTGCAAATACTGAAAGAAACCTGGACATTCTATTGACACATGTTATAAGTTGCATGGATATCCTCCCAATTTCAAGTTCAACAAAAGGCCTCCTCCTCGCAGAACTGCTGCACATGTTGAGCTTGAATCCTCTGGTGGTTCCTCTGTGCCTGGTGGTTCTGATGGTCCAGTTGAGCATGAGGAGTCATCTGTGATACCTGGCCTTACCAAGGATCAATACTCCCAGCTGATGATCTTATTACAACAATCCCAAATCTCTGCTTCCCCACATTCTCCACCTCTGTTGGCTTCTGCCAATTTTGCTGGTAAGCTCATGCCTTATGAGGGTGTTTCTTATGGAGCTTGCATGTTGTCTAGTGTGAATGGCATTGTTTGGATAATAGACTCTGGAGCTACTGATCATATAAGTTCCATCAGGAGTTTGCTTTTTGACATAATTACTCTTCCTGTTCCCTACCTCGTCTCTCTCCCTAATGGGTACAAAGTAAAGGTTACCAATGTTGGTTCTTTAGCTTTATTACCTAATCTAATCCTTCATAATGTTCTTTACATCCCTAGTTTCAAGCATAATCTCATATCTATCCAGAAACTTTTGTCTCATTGTGATGATGTTGTACGGTTTACCAAGTCTGCTTGCACTTTCCAGGGCCCTTCAGTGAGGAAGCCAGTGGTGCTTGGTAGACTGGACAATGGACTTTACAAGTTGTTTCAGCATATAACTTCTCCTGTTAAGTCTGTTAATGTCAATTCTTGTTCTTCTGTTGTTTCTTTTTCACCTGTAGTGTCTAGTAATGCTGTTGTTGACAATTCATCTGTAAATACCATGGTTGATTCAAATAAAGTGAATAAATCTGATGTTGTTTGGCATTATAGACTTGGACACATTCCTTTTTCCAAAATGAAACTTATTTCTGGTCTTGCTAATGGATTGTCTTCCAAGCAGTCTTTCACATGTCCCATTTTCCCCTTAGCAAGACAAACTAGGCTCCCTTTTTTCTGATAGTTCTATTCAGTCTACTGATTCTTTTCAACTTATTCACATAGATACTTGGGGTCCTTACTCCACTTCTACTCACTCTGGTTCCAAGTACTTTCATACAATAGTAGATGACTATACTAGGGCTACCTGGACACATCTGATGGGGGCAAAGAGTAATGCTTTTGATTTGTTAAAGGCTTTTATTTCTATGGTTGAAACACAGTTTCAACTAGAGTTCAGACTGTGAGAAGTGATAATGCTTTAGAAGTAGGATCCTCTTCCTCTGGTTCTGTTTTCTTTTCTGAAAAAGAGATCATTCATCAAACCTCTTGTCCTCACACTCCACAACAAATTGGTGTAGTTGAAAGAAAACATAGGTATTTGTTAGAGACTGCCAGGGCTCTTTTTTTTTTCAATCTCATCTTCCTATCAAATTCTAGGGTGATTGTCTCCTTACTGCCACTTATCTGATAAATAGATTCCCTTCTCCTCTCCTTAAGCACAAGAGTCCTTATGAGTTACTTTTTGTTAAGGCTCCTATCTACACTCACCTTAGATCTTTTGGGTGTCTTTCCTACTCAACTGTGCCCAAACCCCATAGAGATAAATTTCATCCTAGGTCTATCCCATGTGTTTTCCTTGGATACCCTTTTGCCAAAAAGGGTTATAAATTTTACAATTTGTCCACTAAATCTTGTTTCATCACCAGAGATGTGACTTTCCATGAACACATTTTCCCTTTTTCCAAATCCTCTACTCTTTCATCCCCTATCTTGCCCTCTCCTCTCATTCCTGGCCATTTCTGATGATTCAACTTCTCCTTTATCTCATTCTGTTCTTGTTTCTTCTTCTCAATCCTCTACTCCTCCTTCTTTCCCAAGTTCCCCTAATCTCATTTCCTCACCTTCCCCTAGCTCCTCTTCCCCTTCTGTTCTTCCCTCTTCTCCTCCTCCACTCAGGAGATACAGTAGGCCTCATACTGTTCCTACTTATCTTCAGGATTTTGTATGTCCTACCCTTCCTCCTTCTATTTCTGTCCCTGTTTCTTCTAGTTCTGAGTCTGTTTCTTTCAATGCCACCACTTCACAGCTCCACATTCCTGAGCCTTACACTTACTCTCAGGATGCTGCTTTCCCTGAGTGGCAGAATGCTATGGGAAAGGAGTTTGAGGCTTTGGAGGCTAATAGAACTTGGGATATTATTGAGTTACCCCCTAGTAAGAAGCCTGTAGGCTGCAAATGGGTATACAAAGTAAAATATAGAGCTGATGGGAGTCTGGAGAGGTATAAGACCAGGTTAGTAGTTAGGGGTGATACTCAGGTTGAAGGGGTTGATTTTCATGAAACTTTTTCTCCTTTTGTTAAAATGTCTACTGAGAAGTCTTTGATTGTTGTGGCTATCAAACAACACTGGCCTTTATTTCAAATTGATGTTAATAATGCATTTTTACATGGGGATTTTGATGAGGAGGTTTTCATGAAGGTGCCTCCTGGTCTATCTGTTCTTTCCTCCTCTTCTTCTTCTCCTCCTTTGGTTTGCAAGCTACTCGAGTCCCTCTACGGTTTGAGACAGGCTTCCAGATAATGGTATGCTAAATTGTCTCAAGCCCTTTGTTCTAAAGGATATTCTCATTCTTTAAATGACTACTCCCTATTTACTAGGGGTTCTGGCTCTTCCTTGGTCATTTTAGCTGTGTATGTGGATGATATCATTCTTACTAGGACTGACTTGTCAGAGATTTCTTCCTTAAAGGGTTTTCTGCATGAACAATTCAGGATTAAGGACCATGGTTCTCTTAATTACTTTTTGGAATTAAAGTTCTCTATTGTGATTCTGGGGTACTTCTTCATCAGAAGAAGTTTATTCATGACTTATTAGAGTCATTTGCTTCTTTTGCTTCTTCTGCTGTTGTTTGTCCCCTTGCTATCAATGAGAAATTAAAGGCTTCTATTGGTGATCCCTTGTCCAAGCCTGAAGAGTATAGATGCTTGGTGGGCAAGTTGAATTTCTTAACTCACACAAGGCCTGATATCAGTTTTGCAGTTCAACATCTTAGCCAATTCTTGCAAACTCCTTGTGTCCCTCATATGCAGGCTGCTTTGCGTCTTTTGAGGTATTTGAAAGGGACTTCTGACTTTGGTCTGTTCTTCAGTGACTCTCCTGATCTTTCCTTAAATGTATATTGTGATAGTGATTGGGCTTCTTGTGCTGATAGTAGAAGGTTTGTCACTGGTTTTTGTGTGTTTCTTGGTGATTGTTTGGTGAGCCGGAAATCCAAGAAGCAGCCTGTGGTCTCTCTTTCTTCTGCTGAAGCTGAATACAGGGCCATGAGTAAAGCTGCTGCTGAGGTTACTAGGCTTTCAAGATTGCTATCTGATTTTGGTCTTCCTTTTTCCTCTCCAATTCCTTTGTATTGTGACAACCAGGCTGCTTTGCACATTGCCCGCAATCCAGTCTTTCATGAGAGGACTAAGCATATAGAGCTGGACTATCATTTCGTCAGAGGCAAGATTGGTGATGGGCTGATTAGTTTGGGTCATGTGTCCAGCGATGCTCAAGTAGCTGATATTCTTACCAAGGCCCTTCCTAGGCCTGCTCATCACTTTCATCTTCGCATGTTGGGGGTTCTTTCACCCTCCAACTTGAGGGGGGCTGTTAGAGTACTAGATAAAGGCTGATTTTGTATTTGGGCATTATTGTAATTAGAATTGGCCCATGTTGTATTTGTTTGTAATTGGGTCACCGGGTCAAGACCCACTATTTATAAGTGACTCTCCCTATTGTAAAGAGACAGATTTTTCTTTCTTACATAATACAAGATATCTGCTTCTCTCGAAGCTTCTCTCAGCTCATGAACTTTATTTTAGTTTTATCATTTCTCCTCCAAATCTCTGTACTTAACAATAACAAGACGATAAGAGCTGGAAATAACAGTGTATTACTTTTTGCTGCGTATTACAATGTGTTTTGCAAATGATTAAACCTCCCTTTATATAGTAGGGACTCTTGATACAATTCTATAAAAGGTAACCAATCTCATGATTTGCTAATTGACTGGCCTCTCCTTGATACGTGATGAGATTTCTGCCGTGATCTCCAACCGATCACGGATATTTCGGCCTTCCGTTATTTGGGTCGACAAAGTTCCCTCGATCTTGTTCGGTCCTGGAGTCACGTGCTCAACGATTTAACTTTGCGCCTTGGTTCGATATAACCCGGGCTCGAGCTTTGACCTGTCACGTTTCAACCTCGGCTGGTCATACAATGGACGGACCCGGTTTCGACAGTATACACTACGATTATAACAAATTGTATATATTCTGAAAAAGAATAATTGTTGATATACCATTTGACTGAAAATTAGTTAATTAGAAGTAAAGAATAAAAATTAAATTAGGATGAGAGAGTAACGATTGTTTTGTTCGCGAATAACATTAGAAGAAATTCATCTTACAATAGAGAAAATTGTGAGTAAACTGTGAATTTTACGAGGAATTTAACTTAGAAGTAATCTGTTAGATGTTAGTTGTTACTGTCGAAGTGGAATTCAAACACTCTTAACTCGATGGAAGTAAATTGTAATTAGATGTCAAGTTAGAGTTTTTTTTTTTTCTTTTTTGGGTTAAAATAAGTTAGAGGTGTTACGAAGAAAGAAACAAATGAACAGTATTTTATATCTCTCGCATAGAAATCGAATCACTTCTTGCAGTTGTAAAGAATCATAGTTTAGCTACTTCATCAGGTTTATATGTGACTATATAAAATTCCGATTATTGTTATAAATAGAATTATATTTATGGTGAATGTCCATATTTAGAGAGATTCTAGGGTTTATTACTTGGTGGCTAAGTCAATCTCTCCCTATAAATAGAGGGTTCTATTCCATTGTAATTCATCCCAAACCAATAAGAATTCTCTCTCTACTTTTCTCTGCAATATTGTTCTTATTCTTTTATTATTTTATAGCACGTTATCAGCACGAGACTCTACCGTCTCAAGAAGATTAAGAAACATGTTTTATGTTTTCAATATCCAGTTGCGCCTATGCTGAAAAATTGTGTATGTAAGTCAGTAGTGTTCGTTGTCTTCACTTACCTCTTAGAGAAGAATTAGCAAACAATTGATCAAGACTTAGAAGACTTTTCAACTGTGAATCAAGATTAGAAAACGTGCAACAGTCTTTATTCAATGGATCAAACAAATGTCGATATCTCTCCAGGTAAACTTGGATCAAAGTTCAATTGTAAAAATATTTGTTTAATTGATTCATGTACGACACATACAATATTCAAAGAGAAGAAATATTTCTCTCATTTAAGTATGTGTAAGGCAGATGTTACTACAATTTCTGGTAGTAGTAATTTAATTGAAGGCTCTGGAAGAGCTACTATAACTCTGCCTAAGGGAACAATACTTATCATAGAGAATGCAATGTTCTCCTCCAAGTCCAAGAGGAACTTGTTGAGTTTTAAAGATATCCGTCGAAATGGATATCATATTGAGACAATAGATGAGAATAATCTTGAATATCTCATCATTACCAAAAATGTCTCTGGCCAGAAAAGGGCTATTGAGAAGTTCCCATCTTTGTCTTGTGGCCTGTATTGGACAAGAATTAGTGCAATTGAGGCACATTCTATTGTAAACCAAAAGGTTACCGATTCCAATACTTTTGTACTTTGGCATGATCAATTGGGACACCCTGGATCAATTATGATGAGACGAATTATAGAAAACTCAAATGGGCATCCATTAAAGAATTTAAAGATTCTTTTAAATGATAAATTTTCTTGCACTTCTTGTTATCAAGGCAAGTTAATTATTAGACCATCACTAACAAAGGTTGGAATTGAGTCTCCTGCGTTTTTGGAACGTATACAAGAGGACATTTGTGGACCTATTCACCCACCTAGTGGGTCGTTTAGATATTTTATGGTCTTAATAGACGCATCTTCTAGATGGTCCCATGTGTGCCTATTGTCATCTCGCAACCTCGCGTTTGCAAAATTAATGGCACAAATAATTCGATTACGGGCACAATTTCCCGATAATCCAATTAAGTCTATTAGACTTGATAATGCTGCTGAGTTTTCATCCCAAGCATTTAATGATTATTGCTTATCAATTGGGATAAAAGTGGAACATCCTGTAGCTCATGTTCACACTCAAAATGGCCTTGCGGAGTCTTTAATTAAACGTCTGCAATTGATAGCAAGACCGTTACTCATGAAAACGAGGTTACCCACT